GTACATTTTGATAACAATTATGCATATTATATGGGGATATACCAAAACCTATATTTCAGTTTCCATACAGTAAAAAAAATTAATATATTTGTTCCCTTTATTTAAAATTTTATATTAAATATATGCTTGTTTTTTAATTTATATAAATAAAATGCCTTTTAATGATATTATATTATTTAAAAAAATTTAAATTAAATTTATTTTGTTTTTCTATTGTTAATAATTTTTTAGATTTTTCATAATGATCTATTTGTTATTTCATATTGTTTGTCATTTAATTGATTGTACAATTTTTCTTATGAATAATTAAATATCATATATTTTTTATTTTTTCTTTTCATTAGCTTCCTTAACCTTCTTCCTCTTGGTTGTACATATGATCCAAAAGGAGTTTACTGAAAACAATGTGTCATGATGATTTTTTTTTTTAAATAATCATATATTTAGTATAAATTTTCATTATAATATGTTATATAAATTGGAATAAAATATATATTAAATATATATATTTTATTTTAGACCTTATACAAGATGAATATTATTATTAATATTGCAAAAAATAATATACTTATTCCTGTGCTTATTGGTGTACCAGAATATGTAAATGAATCTGAACCCATTAATGTATCTGCTTTTGAAGAAGCATCCATTCTTGTCCTATTCTCCTATTTTTTTAGAACTCCTGTGGTTTTTTCTTGGTACGTAAGTTGCTTTGAGAATGATTGTACTTGCCAAAGATTAGTATTTAATCCTTTCAAAATATTTATAAATAAGCCATCTAAATTTTCAAGTAACAACCTAAAACACTCCTTATACTTATTTTGAATACTTTCTAATTTTCTTATTCCATCTCTAAAATAATAAAAACTCCAATAACTTGGATATTGATATGTTCTCAAATCGTTTATCTTATTATATATAAAATCTAGTTTTCTAAATATTTGATATATATCATTATCAAAATCATAAGGATAATAATCACACTGTTTGAATAAATTTGAAATAGTTGAGTTGGATGAGGATAAAGCTAAGTTCTTCATTACTTCACAACATATTTTTCTATATGCACTAGTGCATCCATATTTTTTCATTATATACTACAGATTGTAAAAGAAATATTTACAACATGCAT